CTCAGTTGTCTACTACATTTGTTCCTAAGACTGTGTAGGATGCTTTGTCTGATTCAGGTTGGAGGAAAGCAATGCAGGATGAAATGGATGCTTTGCATACGAATGGCACGTGGACTCTTGTTCCATTACCTCCAGGTGTCAAACCTGTTGGTTGTCGTTGGGTATATACTGTGAAGTATCTTCCGGATGGGTCCGTTGAGCGTTTAAAAGCACGTCTTGTTGCCAAAGGTTATACCCAGACTTATGGTATTGACTATGATGAAACGTTTGCACCTGTTGCTAAGATTTCCTCTATTTGTGTTTTGATTTCTCTTGCTGCTAATAGACATTGGCCTCTGTTTCAGTTAGACGTTAAAAATGCCTTTTTGCATGGTGACTTAGCAGAAGAGTTTTATATGGAGCAACCACCTGGGTTTGTTGCTCAGGGGGAGTATCTTCACATTGTTTGTCGCCTTAAAAAGGCCCTATATGGCTTGAAACAATCTCCACGGGCTTGGTTTGGAAAATTCTCTGAGGCGGCATTAAAGTTTGGTCTTCAGAGGTGTCAGACTAACCATTCGGTATTTCACCAGCGCACTAAAGCTGGTTTCATAATTCTTGTGGTGTATGTTGATGATATTGTGATCACAGGTGATGATTCTGAAGGCATTGCTAAGTTGAAGTTGTTTCTGCAATATCGATTCCACACTAAAGACTTGGGTAAACTTAGGTATTTCTTGGGTAGTGAAGTAGCTAGATCCAAGATAGGTATAAGTTTATCCCAACGAAAGTATGTGTTGGACTTATTAGAAGAAACAGGTATGTTAGGTGGTCGTCCGGTTGATACTCCTATGGATTCAAATACAAAACTTGTAACTGATGTGGGTGATCTGTTTAGTGACCCGGGCAGATTTCGTCGCCTTGTTGGGAAATTAATTTATCTCACTATCACTCGATTTGATATTTCATATGTTGTTAGTGTTGTAAGTCAGTTCATGGGAGCCCGTAGAATGCCACACTGGATTGCTGTTCTTCGGATTCTCCGATATCTCAAGCAAGCTCCAGGTTTTGGGTTACTATATAAACCAAATGGTCATCTTAGGGTGGAAGGTTTTACAGATGCCGACTGGGCCGGTTCTCCTTCAGATAGGAGATCTACTACCGGCTACTGCACATTTGTAGGAGGAAATCTAGTTACATGGCGAAGTAAAAAGCAAACGATGGTAGCTCGATCTAGTGCTGAAGCTGAGTATAGGGCAATGGCCTATACCACTAGTGAGTTGACATGGATACAACATTTTCTAAAAGAACTTGGGTTGACAGTTGAAGCTCCTACTCCATTGTTCTGTGATAATTAAGCAGCAGTTCACATTGCATCAAATCCTGTGTTTCATGAGAGGACTAGACATATTGAAGTTGATTGTCACTTTATTCGAGAAAAAATATTACGTGGGAGCATCTCTACTCCATTCGTGAAGTCTGAAGATCAATTAGCTGATATGTTTACCAAAGCATTGGGTCATAATCGATTAAGAACTATCTGTTCCAAGCTTGGATTATTTGATATATATTCTCCAGCTTGAGGGGGAGTGTTAGAAGTTATATATATAATAATGGGTCGTGATGTAATTATGTAAACCTTGTAACATATATAAGCCTACATAGGTTTACTAGGTTTTGCGAGTTGTTTTTGAATACACAGAGAATACGCTTTTGCTCTCTCTCTTTCTCTTTTGATTTTGAACAATAACGTACATGGGATATGCCTAACACAGCTCGAATCATTTGATGGAATCAAAATACATCTGTCAGGTATTTCAGAAATTCTTTAGTTAGTGGTGGCTACGGATTAAACACTGAAATTGACTTTTTTATTATTTATTTATTTTTTTAATTTTAAGCTAGAATATTGAACCATGACTTGCAACATGCTCAGGATAAAAGTTTTGAACTTACAAAAAAAAATAAAGAAAAGGATAAAAGCTTGGTTGGCTTAAATATGCCAAACCAATATCATTCCCTATTTCTATGCATGCATTTAATGTAATTAAGAATTTAAGATATAATCTGGTAGGCTGGTTGGTTTTGGATGTAGTTTCTTTTGGGTTCACCAAATTAAATCCAACGTAATGAAATCCCAACTTATTTCTAGCTGTATCTTTATAGAGTAAATTATTCGAACTCATTTGTGTAGATAGGCTCACTACACCTGCCAAAGGTGTTCATCAACTGAAGAATTTTGTTGTCCTTGAGTGGACTTCTTAAGTGCCTAGTGTTGATATGTGTGTACCATGGACCTTTACCATTCTGTTAAACTGTAGCATCAAACTGATGAAATGTGTGGGGCATAAATAATTAACTGAAAAATAAAAAATGTGTGAGCATAGAGTTTGGTGTAATTGATTCCCCTTCCAAGACCGCCTCCTTGAATTTAGATAACTAGAATGGTTATATGTATTATTTGCATCCAACTATAACCATCGTCAGGTTAAAGAACAATAATTACAAAATTAGGTTATGTTTGATATGGATCATCTGAAAATTTTAAAAAAAATCTTTTTAATAAGCATTACCACATATGATATTTTATTAAAAATTGTTTAAATTTTTAACTTATCAAAAAAAAAAAAAAAAAAAAAATTGTTTAATTTTTTAGCAATTATATACCAATAGTCTATGTAATAATACGAATGAGTTTGGAAGAAAAGAAAAGAAAAGAAAAAGAAGAAGAACAACCGTAACCATAGTAGTGGGTCTCTTCTCCTATGTAATTATTTGCAACTTGTCAAGTGGAAACTAAAATGAGAAATTGGAAAGTTCACTCTAATGGTATGTTTGGTTGTAGGGAAGGATTATGGAGGGATGAATGAAAGGGAGGATAAAAGAACTTTTTTTTGTTTGGTTGGAGGGAAAGGGAGAGAGGGGGAAGCAAGTAGGGATGAAGAATCCCTCCTTGCTTTGTATTTCCTATCCGCCCAAAATTGGGGGAAGAGGAGAGAGAAAGAAGGGATAATAACCAACAAATATACGTATTGTCCATTTTTAACCTTCCCAAAAAATTGGAATGGGTATCTAATTTTTATAATTTTATATAATAAGGGTATATTGGTAAAAAGAATATAGAAACTCTCTTTCCCTTCCTTACAACCAAAAAGAAAAAAAGAAAAAGAAAAAGAAAAAGTGTCACCCCACCCCGTTCTTCCTTTATGCCATCCATTCCATCCAACCAAGCAAAAAGTGAGGGAGACACCTTCCCTTCCCTCGGGATGCTTTATCCCCTCCTCCTCCCCTCCTCCTCCATCCATTTGCCCATCCTTCAAACCAAACAGAGCATAACTCTGTAGGGATTGTTCTTCATTCAATTTTGTTCCAATATTGGAGTTTTTGTAGTATTTTTAGTTCTTATTTTTGCAAACCTTTCATCTATATAATCGAGAACAATTATTTCCGTTTAAATTAGTATAGATACCATAGTCTGAATTTTTGTATGACGATGATCCCGAAGGGCTGATATGTTGTTTGATATTAACAAGGTTGACTTACTTATTTTGATTGTTAACCTTGTAAAGATTTAAAAACAAATCCTACCACTATGGGAAAGTTTCTTTGTTTTTACAGGTTTCTCATATGATACCTGATTCTTATTCTGTCTTGTTGTGTGATAAGTATTTCGTGCGTAATAAATGTTCAAATGTTACAAAACTAATATCTTTCCTACAATTTTTGTTAGGAATGAAAAGAGGTTAGTGGTGATGTTCCAAATTTCTTTTCAGGCAGATTTTGGTGCTCTTACATTCCATATATTATCCTAGGGGCATCTTTACCTGCTTACTAGATTATTATGATCTTAATTATGCACTCACCCTTATGTTTGTGATGCCAATGTGGTCCAGCGAGAAAAAGTGATGTGGTTCATATTGAGGGTTATATTAGAGGAAGGGGAAGACCAAAACTCATTGATTAAGATAATGAGGAAAGATGTGATAGCATTTTGTTTGGGCTAGTTCATGATACTAGATAGAGCATAATCACGAAAAAAATCATGTAGCCTCAATTAGTTGGGAAATGGTTTTTCTTAGTTGAATAGATTCGAAAGGTTTTGGAGAGCATCCAAACCAATTGTATTACATTTAAAGGACTGGTTAGCATATTTTTTTCTCTGGAAGCTCAAGTTAGCAGCTTTAGTTTTCTTCTACGTATTATATAATAGATGGAATTGATTAGTAGATGATGTTATCACTTGTTATTTATAACAAAACTATGCCAAAGGTGCTCCTCCAGAACGTACTTCTTGGTCATATGTTAGGCTAGTTTATAGTGTACATATTGGCTATGTGAGGTCTTCTCCTACCTGATGTGAGGTCTTCTCCTAGCTGATGAAAAATATGAATCATATGAATTCTCCTATGTGCTTCCAGTTGTATGTACTTCAATTAGGAATTAAATCGACTCTGCATAATCATGGAAGTGGAAAATAACACTAAATTTCTTCCATGACATTTGTTGGTACAATCTATCCACAAGAAATCAATGCATTACAAAAAATTGAGTAATCACACTACCGATGATGGTAAGAAACTGAAATTATTTCATTTTTGTTTTGCAATTTTGTTATTATTGTGTGAAATGGTGTCATTCTGTTAATGCTACAATAATTATGTGCTAGTATTGCTACCATTTGTGGTTTACTAGAATTCATTATGGTCGGATACTTTATTTTAATGGAAGTATTAGATGTGTCATTTTGTGTCTATCTTGGATTTTAGACATTTTGCCAAGCACTAGCTACTGGAAAATATTTGAAGAGCAGAAAAGATGCATAAAGAAAAAAGGTATGGACAAGGGAGTTGCCTTTTGCATATGCTGTTTCGGTGTGGCAAATCACTTGGTCAACAATAGTCGTGGACCTCTTTAGATTTAGATGGCTAAAATAGTCTGGAGATAAATTAAAAGGGTTAAGTACAAAAGTAAGTTTCCTACTTAAAAAACTGATGGGGTTATTATGATTCTTGTATTCACAGGACAAGAAGGATCTCAAGATTCGAGAACTGTCCACAGATCTTCATCGAGAGAGAAAAAGGTCTGCAGCTTATCAAGCACAGTTACAGAAGATTTTGGAATGTGTTGAGGAACACACTCGGCGGCTATCCTTGAAGATAGAATCAGTGGTTAACAATGTGAAAGATATTGAATCTGAAGAGCAAGAAAATTCAGACTTTGACTAGAATGAGTGTCCTTTTGGACAATTTCTTTCCGTGTAAACGAACCAGCCACATTTCTTGTGTCTTCCTAGTTCACATAATTGATTTGACTTCTAATGTTCATTTTGGGGAGCTTGTTCTGCAGCTAGGGTTTGACACATCAAAATCCATTTTCTTCTTTTACCGGTAAACATACAAACTAATTGGTAAACTATATGTTACATGGTTAGGAACTTTAGAGATAAATTTATGTCTTGAAGTTCATTGGTTGAACATAATGTAATGTGATCGAGAACTTCCCTTTGGAGATTCAGGCTATGTTCTGCATACATTTTGTAAAATTTTTCTATCTGGATTATTAAGTCGGAATTAATATGAACAAAATATGGAAATGAAGATTCCTATTGAATATGAAGATTTTGTATATTTTGTTACTTTTTACTGGTATCACACATTTTGCTCTTGATATGAATGATATTTCAGCTGTTGACAGTGAAAAAGGCTATGAGAGTCTTGCATCTCTTCAACACTAATTTTATGCTCCCTTTTAGAAACTATGTATTGGCTCCCAAAAACTAAGATGATACAAAAAAGAATATGGAATATCACTGAGAGAAATGATTTGTCATACGAGAACAATAATACCAAGTCGTAATGTCAGTGAACAACAATAATGATAATGAAGAACAATAGCAACAATAAAAACTACAACAATATTACAATAACAATAAAAACAAGCATCATGATGTCCGGAATTAAATTACATTTATCGGATAGAGAAAAGGCAATTGGACTCTTTATGTATGTTCCATCGATTGAATTTCTTGAACTCTCGCACTGCAATGAAAACCTAACAATCATTACCAAAATAAAATAAAATAAAAAATAAATACTTAACAATCATCCAAAGTTAGTAAGCCAATGAAAAATTAATGCATTACATGGATTGAAAAAGGAGCAAACTTACTACGAAAATGTATAAAACTAGAATACTCATCCATGTTCCTATCATGAGAAACAAAATTGAGTAATGGAACAAATAGAAATAATCACAGTAAATGCCAATAAAGACTAAAAAAAATCACAAAATTTGAAAATAAATACCAATAAAAATGCCAGTAAATGCTAATGGGCTTGTGGTAATAGTCACAATTTTAATTTTTATTACTAAAATCATATGACAATTTATCTAGTAATAAATATTATTCAATGACTTAGAAGGAAAAAAAAATATTAAATGCCAATAAAGACCATCCTAACTTAAATTTTTTAAAAACCTTGTCAATCGTAACTCTCTCTCTCTCTTTTTTTTTTTTTTTCCAACAAAAGACAATCTAAATTATGGTTTGGATTACTATAATGGATTTTAACCAAATGGATTTCATGAATAATATTAACTCTATTTTATTATTTTAAGAAATTAGAAATATAAAAAGAAGTAGGAAGAAAGAAAAACTGAATACGTCTCTCACCTTTGGTGAATGCTTCTTCTGCGGATATTTGGTTCTGATCTATCAATTCAGTTTGTAGGTTCTATAATTGAATCCCTTATCCTTGATACAATAATTGATAGATGGTATATGCTTAACAATGTGATAGTCTTGGCCTTCCTCTCCTCTCATTCTTTCTATGAATTCTGTTGCCATATCAAAGAACTCGAGTTCTCTTAGTTTTTTGAGGTGTTGAATGCCGGACGGTACCTCCTTCAATTGCGGGCTAGGCCCAATTTCTCGCTCTTCAAGAAGTGGCAATGCTCCTTCCTTTATTATCAATGAATTCAACTCTTGCAACTCATAGAGATACAGCACCTTGAGTTTCTGAAACCCATGTGCCCCAAAATACAATCTCTCACCATCATATCCCTTACGGAGATATAGCAATAACAGATTAGGCAAGGCTTGCAGGGCCTTTATCGGATCATCACTTAATCCTGAATAATTTAGACCTAAGTCGACTAGATTTTGAAGTTTAGGGATCCAATCCGGCAACTTCCCTAAAGGCCCAGACAAGAAGAGGCGTTGAAGACGCTGAGGTGGAGATGTCATGCATTGTAAATTTAGGATCTTATCTTCGCTTATTGCCGCGACGTCAAGACATGTAAGGTGTTTCATTTTCTCAATGGATTCCATGAGAGCCCTCCAATTTTCTCTTCTCAATTTTTTGATACCCAACTTTCTCAACTCTCTCAAATTTCCCAGCTCTCTAATTATTTGGTCCAACCCTTCATGACTTGCCTCCACATAACGTAGTTTCTGCAGTTCCTTTAAATGCCCAATTCTTTCTTGGACTTTCACTCCTCTTGTAATATCAATAACACTATCAACATTGTAGTTAAGATCGTAGGCCAAAAGGTGTCGTAGCTTATGTAACTTACTAATTTCACTGGGTAGCTCATCCACGAGAGAGTATTTCAGATCTAAAGTTTGCAGGTTGTATAGCCTGCCGATGGACTTTGGAAGGATCTTCACTTTTGTATTCCTCACACTCAAGTACCTCAAGTGGAATAACTTTCCAACCTCTTCAGGAAGATTATTAAGAGGAGCACCTTCAAGATCTAACACCTTCAATAGCTTGAATTTTGCAAACATTGTACCTAAAAATGGCTTTGGCAACTTGTCGTCCACTTTAAAAATAAAACAAGAACGAATTCGGAGCTTACCGATGGTTTCTAAAACATTATAAACATGGTTATGGAATGAAAGTCGCCGAGGTTGTCCATCAAAACTTGAGTCATCTTCCACAACTTGACAAAAACTCGACTCCTCGGACTTTGAAACGATGAGCTCACGGATCAAGTCATGAACTCGGCAAGTACGAAATTTTGATTTATCATATTTTAGTTTACTCACTTGAACCAAACTTTTGCGAATTAGTTCGGCCAGGTATTCTTCTGCAACCTCTTCCAAAGTTTTTTTTTCCTTTTTCTGGTTTTACAAACCCCTCAGCTATCCACAACCGAATCAATCTCCCACGACGAATAGAGAAGTCTTCCGGTATTATGCTCAAGTACAAAAAACAAGATTTCAGGTAGTAAGGAAGATCGTGATAACTGAGCAATATGACTTTCGTAATACTTGTAAGATGGGGACTCCTTTGTAACTCAAAACCGAGGCTATTGTACGCCTTTTCCCATTCGGATACAGTCTTGTCTTTTGTTGATAACAAACCACCTATTGCCACAATTGCAAGTGGCAATCCTTCACACTTGCCAACAATTTTATTAGAGAATTCCTTCAATTCTGGTGGACATTGACCCCCAAAGTCTAATTGGAACGTCTTCTTGCAAAAGAGTTCCCAAGCCTTGTCTTCAGAGAGAGGCTCAAGATGGTGGATGTAATCAAATGGAGATTCTTTGCAAGAAGAAGCAACATCATCATTTCGAGTGGTGATGATTACTCGACTGCATTTGCTGTTCTTCGATAAAGCATGTTTTATGAAACTCCAAAAGTCTATTTTCCATACATCATCAAAAACAACCACATACCTCTTCAGTTCTAAATATTCCTTCAAATTTTCAATGAGCAAAACTTCTTCCATTGTATCAATTCCTTCAGGAACAAGCTCTTTTCTTGATCCATAGAACTTCTTGATCATTGTCTTAAGGATCTCCTCCATCTTGTATGACTGAGACACAGGGATCCAAGCATGGCAATCGAAGTGTCCAGGGGAGCTGTCATAGACTTTCTTGGCGAGAGTGGTCTTTCCGGATCCACCCATCCCAACGAGAGAAATTACTCCACGATTCGGTTGTTGTGCCAATAGCTTACTGATCAATTTGTCTCTGAGAGATTCAATGCCGACAACTTCATCTTCAGCAATGAAAAGGGAAGCCACTCGAGGGTCATGCCATGTGCCATCTTTTGTGCCACTGCTTGATCCTTGCTCCAAGGAACTGAATCCATATCTGTCAGCTCTTTGCTTGATCTCCTGGATGGTTGTTTTGATCTCTTGAATCTCGGAAGCTATCTCATGTCTTTGCTTCAGTTTAATAACTGGGCGAGCGACTTTACGAAAGAAAGTGATTAAACCACGCTGATGAAAATGGCTTTGCCAAGTGAAGTATGTATTCATCGATAACATCTTCGATCTTATAAGAAACTTTCCTTACGTCTTTCACCCAAAGTTGCAAGCCGTCACTGATCTTTGCGGTTTCAGCCCTGACATCTGCATCCTTCAAGAAACACAGTATGTATTCCAATTCATCTTTGATGCTGGCAAATTCTTTATGGACACCCTTAAGCAATTTTGCTTCGTTGGTTAACAGTGGGACCAAATAGTCAATAACAGAGCTCACTGCAGTTTCCGCCATTGTTTTGTTCCTTTGATCTGTTTAAGAATACCAGAGAGCTATTGCGTTGATTTTGAAGAGGAAGAGGATGGATCCTGCCCAAGAAATGACAGAAAAAAATAAAGCTACTACTGAAGCAGAAATATTATAAAGCGAAAAGCAGGAATACAAATGTAGAAAGCTACTACTGAAGCAGAAATTTCAAATAATGGATTTTATTTGGTTGGAGGTAGTAAAGTGTTTTAAATCCACAAATAAAACGAGTCTCAGTTTGAATGACAAAGAAGATAGAAAGAAAGATAAAGAAAATGAAATGGAGATTCTAGAGAGACAAATTGAGATGTAAGAGAGCTTAATTCAAATCTGGACAAATAACAATGTGTGACAAAAAGAGATTACAAATAGAGGGAGATGCAAATTCAGATGTAAGAGAGGAATCCAAATTGAAACAAGAAGTAAACCACAAATGTATAATACAAAGCAAAAAGGCAGAGAAGTTAATTGTTGAAGAAACTAAAGAGAGAATTCAAAAGTACCTCTTCTTGCTTATGGAATGACAGACTGATATTGCAAATTCAGATGTAATAAGAGTGAAAGCCAGATTCATATGTCAACCAGAAAGATTATAAGTGACAAAGAGAAGATTAAGAAAAAAGAAAAATTAAGACGACTTTCAAGTTGTCACATCGAACCACAACCATTGAAAGGAAGAAGAAAAATTAAGACGACTTTCAAGTTATCACATTGATACAAATTGAGAAGTAAAAGAAATTTAACAGGGTGAGAATAAGAGATTTCAAATAGTGGGAGATGCAAATTCATATGTAAGAGAGAGCCAAATTGAAATAAGAAGTAAAGCACAGAGATAGATTAAAAGCAACACAAAATAAGAAATCAAATCAATAGAAATGCAGAGAGCTAGCCATGAGTTCAGGAAGTACCTTCTCTCTAACTCATGGAATGACAAACATGAAGAGACTAATTGCAGATGTGTGTGAGAGAGAGAGATTGAGGGATTATAGATTTAGATGTAAATGTGAAAGCCTGATTCAAAAGTAAACGAGAAAGATTATAATAAGAGATAAGGGGAAGATTTAAAAAAGAAAAAATAAGATGACTTTTGAAACATCAAACAGAACCATTACG